TAGTTCAGAAACATTGCTTTATTAGTTTTCCTGCTTTTTAAAAATCCAATGTCTTAAAATTTTAAGGGAAAAAAATTACTTCAACTAAAGGTCTGACAGCCAATTCTAAAACATATCCAACATATATGCATTAAATTTAATTAGAGCCATTAAAGAATAGATTTTACCTTAACTACAGTTAAAGAAAAAATTACACATGGCACTTATTAAAGACGGTAAGGATGACTGTATTCAAAGAGGTATAAGAACAGCTATAGTGGGATCTCACAGTAGTGGGGAGCACTGGGGGTCAGCAGTGGAAAGTTTCTAAGAGGAAACATCGGCGGTAAGGGAGTTCTCACTAGAACCACGCAACAGAGCTCTTGCTGAAGGCAGACCACGGTGATAAGATCCTGAGGGTGGGGGTGAGGGCAGATAGCAGACTGACTTAGCAAGATTCTTGCTCAGAATGGATTTTGTAAAGACAGAGAGGGAGGCCCAAGGTTGGGCCTCCTTGAGCAGAGGACTCAGAGGAGCCTGACTAAAGTTTTGGTCAAAGGAGAGAATTTTTGTCACTAGATAATGGTTTTAACTAAAATTGCTACATTTTCTATGTATAGATTAACAGCTTTTAGATAATTGGTAGACAGAAGGATTACTTTCAACCAATTCTGTGCTGGCTGTAATTAGTTTTCTTTGATGACTTGGAAGTACCTTATTTTTTATAACATTAAACATTATTAAGTCCTGTGACAATACAAAATTAGAGCTTTCTGGAAATTGTATAAACAATGAGTTTCCGGTAATAATTAATGTTTAACAAAATTCAAGATTTGTTTTTTTCAGGCTGGGCGCAATGGCTCACGCCTGTAACCCTAGCACTCTGGGAGGCCAAGACAGGAGGATCGCTTGAGTTCAGGAGTTTGAGACCAGCCTGAGTAAGAGCGAGATGCTGTCTCTACTAAAAATAGAAAAATTAGCCAGGTGTCATGGTATGCACCTGTAGTTCACCTCAGCCTCAGGCGGCTGAGGCAGGAGGATTGCTTGAGCCCAGGAGTTTGAGGTTGCTGTGAGCTAGGCTGACACCATGGCACTCTAGCCT